GATGCTTAAGTTAGTATTGCATATAGAAAGCAAAGGGAAAATGAAGGCTAAGAGTGTAGGTCGCGCATTATCACTATACTCGAGAGATTAGAGGTCTCAAGAAGAAGAATCTCTTCTGCCCTGAGGGCTTTTATAAGGGCGTTCTTGTGAGATCGAGCATAACCGCCACTGGGCCCCTGCCACAGCCGTTACCTGCCAGGGCTGCTCAGGTGGCCGTTGTGGCGTACTCCTCGCCCGGGTGAGTGACACGTCTCCAAAGTAACAGGCATGCCTCCGTCTGCTGAGGGACGTGGGTGCAGACTGTCGAAAGCATAGGGACTCCGTTAGTAAGGCACGTGGTGCATTCTGATCAGTACAGCCTGTCAGATAGAAGCTTCGTGAGGAATGCTCGTGCGGCCCATTCGCGAGTTACTTTGCAGCAAGCTCGGAATACTTCAGGAGTACCCTTAGTAGAATTGGTTCTCGGGATGACTTGTCTGCTTTGGGAGCTCGGGCGAGCTGGTCTTCTTAGCTCGCAAGCTAAAGTTGCCTCGGAATATCCCCTTAGAGGTAGCTCGAGGAATCCGGATCTCGCGTTGTGGCGATATCCTCCCTTTGCGCGCTACGATGTAGCGAGCTGCTTTATGGGCCCGTTACTTGGTTGTACTAGGCCACAGTGCTGAGCTGTCACTTACGCTAAGCCAGTGTCCATGTGTTGCCATTTCATAGGTCGGGTCAAATCATCCTTCATCAATTGCCCCCCACTCCTCGAGTTAAGAGTGCCGCCTTAGCACGGGGAGTTTATGAAGTGCGATGGACTGATTTGACCGAAATTCAAACTTGATTAACTTTCCTCATTAAATACATTTGCAGGAATCAAAGGATTTTCTGACTTCCCTAACTTTTCGGATTCCGAAAACATGCTGGGGTGGCCTTTAACTACGAACGTTGTGCGACTGCGACTACCCTAATTACAGAAGACGTGCCGCCAATTGCCTTCAATTTTCAGAAGGCGTGCGGTCAGGGCGCCCGCGGACCGTTGGATCTGCTTTGATCTGGGCCGTCAATTTGAAAGGGTGGAGACTATAAATAGGGGGCCCCCTCGGGCTCTACTTTCTCCCATGCCATTTCGCTGTCTTTGGATTCTGAGGTTGCACACTTCACCTAGTCTACCCGAGTTCCTCGGTTTGCTTTGTTTCGTCTACTCTGGTGAGTCCCAATTGCTGTCAGCCATGTCTGGGTATCCATATCACACCTATCACAGGGGCAATAGCCAGGATGATGATGCTCCCTCGAGCTCGGAGGGTGCCTGGGAGCAGATCCCGGAGGCTCTGGAGGCCTCTGGTGACATGGCGTCTACTTCTAGGGGGAGGGAGCCTGATACCTTTGGCCCTTCCTTAATGACAGGGGAGAGACTCAGGTCTCTGATCCGCTACTTTTGCCTCCCTGGGGACCTGGTTTACAGCCTCCCTACTGGTAACTTCCCTTGGGAGAACGGTCCCGATGACATAGTAATCTTTCAGGAACAACTCGAGGCCGGCTTGCGTCTCCCCCTGCACCCCTTGATAGTGGAGGTGTTAAATCACTTCAACGTCACTATTGACCAGCTTCATTCCAATGCCATTCGAAACATGGTTGGGACTATATCCCTGTGTCACGAGTATTGCCTTCCTTTGGACCTTGATATTTTTGTCTCTATCCTTTGTATAAAGAATGCTGCTCCTGGGGTTCCTCCGGAGAGGCGCTTTTATTACCTCTCTCCCCGTCGCGGCTATAAGCTCTTGTACGAGCTGCCAAATAGGATTCCCGCCTGAAAGCGAGACTACTTTGTGGTCCGTAACCCCGAGGGGTGGCCCTTTCCCACTGCTTGGAGGGGTGCCATCCAGGACCCCGGGGCCGAGCTGGACCTTGAGATTTGGAAAATGATGCTGTCCTGGGCGTCGGTAGGCTTCCTTTGCTCGGACTACTTGACCGAGGAGAAGCTCGTGCTGGCAGGCTTGAGCCCGGGTAGGTCGGCCTTTTAGGTCGCGTAGTGCCTTGTGACTTGTGCACGTGCATTTTGTTTCTTGTCGGACTAATACCTTGTGGTCTTTTGGCAGCCATCATGTCCAGTGCCAATTCACGCCGTCTTCTCCCAGGAATTTCAGGACCTCTAGGCGGAGTATGGTTCGGGTTCGTACCGCTCAGGGTTTAAGCTCTGTCGGTGGCTGTTTCGGAAGAAGTTCTTCGGACTCAACCTCGACGGCATTACTATGAAAGGTATGTCTCCTGAGACAGTGGACCAAGCAGATGAAGAGGAGCCTGACTCTCCAGAGGATGAGGAGGTGGATCCTTGAGGCGGCGTTTCTCTGGGCTTCTGGTGGCTTCCGGGTGCTGTAAACCCAGTCTTTCACAAGTTTTCGGTTGGGCGGTTGTGCTTTGTGATAATCAAACCTTTCCCGAGCTGTTTAGCTCGGTTATTGCACTTGTTATTTTTCTTTTCTTTTTTTTTTGTGACAATGAAAGTTCTTTCCTTCTTCTGGGTATGATGAACTCCCTTTATTTTTGCTAAAGCGATCTCATCATTTGAGCTATTAAAGCTACATGCCCGAAGTAGGACTCTTCGGTAGTTGTTATCCCGATTTGTCCTTTAACGTTTAAGGCCTCTATGGTATACCGCGAAGTGATTACTATGTATGC